AAATCTAGCCTAAATATTGAGTGTCTGAAGTTTGATCTACGAGACTCATTTATGATCCGTAAACGTAGTCCGTAAAAGTTAGAAAAAAATCGAGTTCTAGTACTTTGATCCACAAGCCTAGGGGTGTCAAAAATAAATCTAAACATAGGTAACCCGCTCAGAATTTTAAGGGTTGGGCTCAAGATAATTTGAACTGGTTTCAATCTCAACCGATTCAAGCGTAACCTATTTTAGGAGAATTCTCAATTGAGTCCAATTTATTTTCCAATTTCAAGCCGTTTTAAAATTCTTTACTAAGTTATGTCCCTACATTAAATGTATGAATTATCATCTATTTAAAATGTTTTAGGACTTATCTATAATTTGTTACTTTTTTTAAAAAAAATAATCTTGAGCCGAAATTCGCATTATGATTATAAAAGTTAAATATCACTTTGATAAAATTATTGAGATTAATCGGGTCAACTTGGGCTGGTCAAGAGCCAACCCGTTTTTTTAACCCATTTGAGTCCAACTCATTTGAGCCAAAATAAACTTGGATAGGTCTGTACTTTTTGTGCAGTTATATTACCACTTGAGCTTCGTTATTATTTCACCCAGCATCATCTTCGATATTTTTTAATTTTATGATATAAGTTGAGCATCTACACCCATTTGGCACCCCTACACAAGCCCATCTACAACCGTAATAGCATCTACAACTTATTTCTTGCTCGTCAAACTTGGGCTAAATTTTTAATCTCTGCAGTTAATATACAGATCCCATCTACGGTTCACGGTTCCATTTACGGCCCAAATGGCATCCGTAAATCCCAATTTTTTTTCTAGACACAAGTTTCTGGACTTTAGAACTTCTGGGGTGTTACACCATCTCTGCCCCAATTGTTTAGTACATCCCTTGAGCTACCTGACATCACCCACCTGATTCTCCTCAGGTTGATTAAGATTTTCCATATCTAATCTGTTACTACAAGGTAAAAAGAGATAGTTGGTTGTCTTTGCCTGTTCTCTACTTGAACATCTTTCTTTTCAAATTATCCCATGTCAAGACTGCTTCTTTGGCCACCAGTGATGTAAAACACGCTACTTTGAAACGGAATCTTGGACTCTCCAGATCAGCATCCATGGCCAGCATCATACTTGATTCTTGGAGAAGTTCTGTTCTCTGTATGCATCTCTCACAAAAAAATTGTTTATTCCTTTGTTATTCTGTACTTATCTCCAGTAGAGCCTTTGAACTGAGATAAAATACTATATATTTCAGTTATTCCCAATTCTTAATCATTTAGTAGCTTCATTTATTATTCTAGAATAGGATGTATATTTCATAGCTTTATAAGGATTAGGTTAAGTTACAATTATTAGTTTGGAATAAGATTTAGGTCTCCTACTTTCATAAGAATTAGATTTCTTATTGATGTAATAAGACTCGGGGGCTTTTGATGAATAAATCAATGTCATAATTCACCAAAAATCAAGAGAGCAGAGTTCTCTTTGCTAATGAATTCTAAGATATCAGTCTCCCTTTAACGAGCTGATTTTCGTCTTGTGAATCGATCCTACCCTAGAGATTCTTAACAAATTGGTCGATGAGATCAATTCCAGATTTCAAGAAGAACGTGTGATTACATAAATATGAATGGACTCTAAACTTGCAGCTATGGAACGTCTCTATGAAAGAATTGTCCAAGTCATTCAAGAAATTTTTTCTAGTTTGGGAATTGGCTCTACAAAACCAGTAGTTCATGGGGCAGAATCAAGTAATGCCCAGACAATTGGTAAATCAACAAATTCGACGTCTAGAGGCAATACACTGCCTATTCAACCATGATCATAATCATCAAACTAGTGGTAATTCAAATTCGGTAATACCAAGTTATGCAAAGATGAAATTTTCTACATTTAATGGTATCAACAACCCATTAATTTGGGCACATCGTTGTGAACAATTTGGACCTCATGAAAATGGAAACTCGATGGGCGCATTAGTCAACCTTCAGCAAATTGATAGAGGTAAATTTATCAATGTCAACTTCAAGCTAGGGATGGAATTGGATAATTGAGCTTTAGGACAAGCTCTTCCAACGTAAGAGGGGGTAATGTTAGGAATGCGTTGGAAGTCATTAATTTAAGTATTTAATTATTTGTTTAGTAGCTTTATTTATTATTCTAGAATAGGGATTATATTTCATAGTTTTATAAGGATTAGGTTTAAGTTATAGTTATTAGTTTGGAATAGGATTTAGGTCTCCAATTTCCATAAGAATTAGATTTCCTATTGATATAATAAAACTCCTATTTAAAGGGGCTTTTGATGAATAAATAAGTAAGACATAATTCAACAAAGGGAAAAAGGACATGTATACCCTCGAACTTTCGAAAATGGTATAGGAATACCCTTCGTTATACTATGGAGACGCTAGTACCCCTGCCGTCCAAAAAGTGGAACATTTATACCCTTCATCCTAATGGAATGCCATGTGTCATCATCCTATGCATCTATCATTCACCAAATTCTAAACCCACAAAAAGAACTCGGCCGAATTGAAAAAAAACCCACCCAAATGACCCCCTAACCCTCTTTTTTTAAGTGAACCAAACAATTTCTTTAATTAGTAAAACAAAATTAAAGTGATTCTTGGGTCCAAATTTCACATTGTATAAGCACAACTATGGGAACCACCACTACATCGCCACGACGACGACGACCATAGTCATCATCATCCTCATCAGAATCATTGCAACTTCCATACGCATCATCAAAGTCCTTCGATTTCCGGTAACAACTGTACAAGTCTGGGATGCGTGGTTCGTTGGAGCTGAAAGTGATGATCGTATGAGGTGAGAATGTTGTGTATGAAGTTTTCTGGAAGATGAGTATTGTTGCACCGGTGGACCTGAAAACTATTCCATAAGAATAGTCGTCATGTGCCGGCGATACGTTTGTTACATGAATTGGGCGAGTGAGATTTTTTATGGACAAATTCCGAAAAAGTAATCTTCATCGGCGGTAGCGGCGGAGGAGATGGCGGTGAATGAGTTTGAGTGATGTTTTATTGGTTAAGCTTTGAAGCCTAGCTAAAACAACCATAGTTGCTAAAATTGTTTAGCTCTCTAAAACCTCAACTTCTTCCATCCTCTAATTCGTCCTCAACTTCTTGCTCAATTATGTAATCTTCTTCTTCTCCACTCAAATCCGAGTTGATAACCCACTCTATCACGAGATTCACCCGTGTATATCATCTTCTTCTTCACCCATCTTCATGTTTGAACTTGAATTCAAAATCAAATGCTTACCACTCCTTTCAATACCAATTTTGGATTGATTGAGTTTTTAGATGTTTTTGAGGAAATAAAATGAGTAATGCATAATTGCGTGAGATTTTTGAAGAACAAAACAGAGGATCAAGGCGAGTATTCACGCTTTGAAGTAGGTAGAGAGAACTTGGAGTATTTTGGTTATTTTGGGTATGTCATTTTAGGTGTTAGTAATGGTTGGGTCAGGGGCTATTTGGGTGGGTCGTTTTAATTTGGGTCGTGGGTTTAAAATTTGGTGAATAATTGTAGATGCATAGGATGATGACACGTGGCATTCCGTTAGGGTGAAGGGTATAAATGTTTCCACTTTTTGGACGGGGGTACTAGCGTCTCCATAGTATAACGAAGGGTATTCGTATACCATTTTCGATAGTTCGAGGATATATTTGTCCTTTTTCCCTTCAACAAAAATCAAGAGATCAGAGTTCTCTGTTCTAATGAATTCTAAGATTTTAGCCTCACTTTAACGAGCTGATTTTCGCCCTGTGAATCCCTTTAACGAGCTGATTTTCACCATGTGAATTGATCCTTCCCTAATGGTTCATAACAGTATGCGTCTTGTTGTTTGCATAAGTTGTATATGTCTGGATATATTTGTTTGAATGGTCCATGACCAATCCAATTCTCCTCCCAAAAAGATGTGTAAGTTCAAAAAGAAACTAAAAATTTGCAAGCTTATGATAAAAGGAAAGGAATTTGGCTAATGGCATTCTTGCGGTTTTTTAAACCAAGCTTTCAACTGATTTTGATGTTTAATTTATCTATTGTTAAGATCAGCTCATACAATATTCAAGTTGTCCAAAATGAGCTAATTTAGCTCCTGAAACTAGGTGAGCCAAAATAAACAAAATTGTGGAGACTTGGTAGCTTCTACTTTCCTCCACACACGTTTTCATCCCGTCTGCAATTTCTCATACCTTTGCAAACTCCCTATAATCTATTGATAATTCTCCTATGTTAATACCAAACCCTACTGGTAAAGTGTGTTGAGTGAAGGTGACAAGGAAGGGAAGTAAGTTTTCTTTGACATTTTACTACTTTCAAATATGATGGTGATAAGACCTCAGTGTGTTTGTAGCATAATCTCTTGTTGGTTTTAACTTACATTCAGACACCACTTCGATTGAACTTCTTGAAGGGAGGATGAAAACACGGGGTACTTGATGGGATTTATCTTTTCAAAAGCTTTATGAGCTTTACTGTAGTAGTGCTTCCTGATGAGATGTCTAACCCTCACCTTTTTAGGTTCCAAAGGTCAGATGTAGCAATTTCTCATCCTGCTGAACCATATTCTCAAAAGTTTTACCTTTCAAATCAAAAGAATCATATTGTGATATAGGAAAGCTTCTAGGTGTTATGACTTGTAACGAGCAAAGTTTTTGACTGTTAATCTCTACTAAAGATTGATTATGCAGTAATTGTTTTGGTTCAGTTTACTATTGGTATTTATTGTCTATCTGATAGTTAGGTGATAGCCTCCTTTGTTACTTCATGTAGACACTGCTATCTACTTCGTTTAGTAGATGTAGAGCTCTGGGATGACCTCTGTTGGGTTGATGTTTTACTCTTAATACTTCTCACTGTATGTTAGAAAAAGTAGAAAAACACTTTACATCCGTGGTCTGAACTATCTTCTTGTTAGGATTTGATATTTCAAGCTGACTGGTCTCTCATTTTTACAGCTTCCGGCTCCTGTCAATAATATGGAAATGTTTGTTACAGAGTAGCCTGGGACCTAATATGCATATCAAGCCAAAAGTTGGGCAGATGGAGATATCATATACTTCATCTGTTCACTTCTTTTGAAGCCGGGGACTGTTAATGCTGAATGTACTAGATGTATGATCAAGAAATTTACGATTCCACGAATATATTATGTATAACGAGCTTGTCTTTGATGTATGCTTCTCTTCCTCCCCCACCTCCTGCTCTGTTCCACCAATTTCCGCAAAAAGATTAGAGGAAAAATAAATAAAGAAATGCATATAATCCAGTGTTGAGTTGAATTTCAATTTAGAGCTTCTTTTATTGTTACTGCGTATGTTGCTGCTGCAATGCTATATGGTATAATACTTGGCAGGAATGTACAGTTTGAGCATATGATTCTCCGACATGGTTGTAAAGATATACTCAAAAACTGAAGGATTGGAAAACAAATTGCTATTTTTAAGAGGTGATAAATACTATAGGGACTTCAAAATTTGATGAAGTTATTCATTGAATATAAGTGGATGTTATAATAGTAAACACCATTAAGCAATTTTTTTTTTTAATAACGTTGCAAAAAATTGACACATTCAAAATTACAAGTGATGATGTAACACAATCATATGCAAATATAGTAATTCCAAATAAGATTGGGTCGAATACCACATGAAATAAGGAGAATTGCTACTGAATGGACAAATACTTGATCAGCAGTCTGATTTCTATTATGTAAAAGTAGTAGTTTTTTTTTCCTTTTGGTTTTAATCTATCTAAAGACTAAGATTGCAAAAATAATTTTGAGATGACTTGTATGATTAAAGAACTAACGTTGTGTCACCTTAATGGGATGTACCGTTCTTGATTTTCATGCAATTATAGATAGTCGGGTATCTAGATATGCACTCAGTTGAGAAGAATTGAAATTGGGGACGCTTTCAAATTTAATTTGAACAATAGCCACCTAATTTCTTTTTGAGTTATTTATCGGGTTATGGATAGAAAAAATGGGTTTGGATTGTGGGGTCATGGACCTTTTTGTCATTATACTTGGGGATAAAAATACAAGTATAAAAAATATTATTTTCATCTCAACACTTGAACATTAAATAAATTCATCCCTCCCCAATAAAAATCAAATTACAATCCCAAGTAGTATAAAAAAATATTTAATAATTAGGTTTAAACATTTTTCGAGGAAATCTCAAAACGTTTCAGAGAACTCTTTGTTTTCTTCAATAAACTAGTTTAACGAAATCATCAACCTCCATAAAACTAATCATTCTCCAACAAATCTTTCATCTTCCACTATTGAAAACATAAGCAAGTGTGATCCTATAATCGTTCTTGAAAAAACAAAGTGAAGTTTATTTTTATTTTTCATCAATCTTGTTCCTCGAGTCGGTTTGAATTTTTTCGATCTTCTTCCCAAGTTCAGTTGTGAAATCTTCTTCCTGTCAAGTAAGTTTAGTCGTGTTTTCAATAACTTTTAGGCTATTTGATCTTTTTTTTATTGCGATAGAATAGCAAAGTTTAAATTTTTGCTTAAAGTTTTGAAAATGTGACCCGTTTTAGTTGATGCCTTTAATTTGAAATCATTACTACGTTTTGCTTTGGATAATGCGTAGAAATTTTGAATTTTTTATGTTTATATGTCCTATCGTTTTGAAAGTTCTTACTGTATTTTGGTTGACTTTAATGATGTTTATGTCAATGACATTGTTGAGTTTTGTTGGAAGTGGTACTTGTTTTGCATATTTTTTAGAATTACCCTGTTTGTATTAATAGACTAGTGATCGAAATTTTGATATGAAATTATATTTTTGTACATAATAGAATATGATCGAAACTAAAGGCGGCATTGTTAAAAGAGTAGTAGAGATAGCCTGGAGATTGAAGATGAGGATGATGATCCCCCTGGCCTTGTTAATTGGTGCAAGAGAAACCTCTTATAAGTCCTATAATCTAACTACATGGATGGATGAGTCCAGCAAAAATTTCTCTGAGAGCAAGAATGACTCTTTTTTGTGATTTTAGAAATGTTTTAGTTCAAGAAGAAAATTATGATGACTTTAAAGGTACTTGTTTTTGGAGATTTAAGACATATTCTAGAATATTACAAGTTAAATGGACAGATGGTCAATTATATGTTGTTGCGACGTGTCAAAAATGATAATTTTTTTTGCATGAGTTGTTGTTTTGTGTGAATAATAAGTATGCTTGTTTTGGCTTACAAGAGATTGCATTGATCACATGATTAAACTGCTCAGCATACCCTCGTGATGCAAAAATGACAAAAGTGCTTCAGAAAGGTGAGAAATTTTATTATAAAGTGACCAAGAATAAGAATATTACTAGTACAAAGTTGATGAGTTTGATTAAGGGTACTAGATTGAATAAGGAGAAAAAGTTGAAGTGCTCTTTAGTTTGTTCGTCCACTCGATGTTGCTTGCCCACAATCGATCTAAAATTTGTGGACTCAAACCATATTAAGATGGTTGATGGTTTAAATTTTTCAAGAATTACCCCTGAGGAAAGAGTGTTTTGTTTAACAGTGAAGTATTCAAGAACAAAATTAATTTGAAGAAGCCGGATGAAGTGTAAAAGGAAAGAGGGAATGCATTTATATCGTATGCTCGATGTGGCTTCCGTTGGGCATTTCTTGTACTTATTTATCAACTAGTTCTCGAACACATACATTACATGTGTATCCCATGTTATTTAATACCAAACATTTCAAATGATATAATTATTTTAGAATAATTGATGCATTATACAATATTTAAAGGGTAAACATGATGTTTCTGGTAAAACATTTAACTAAGGTTGCAACTTGCAAAGATCAATAGAATCTGAAGAATTTCTGATTGTATTGATAAAAACTTTTTCTTTTAATCATGTGGGATACACTATATTAATGGTTTAAAAAAATTACTACTTTAATTATATGATTTGTCAAGATTGCCAAATATCTAACACTATATTACCATACAAAATGAAAAAAAAAGATCAATGAATAAAAGATTACATAAGAACTATAAGATGTGAAAAAATAAAGTTTAATGGACTAATCTTTTCTATTCAATTTATAAAGAGAAAAATTGTGTATATGAAAGGTTGTGAATGAATGTATTTAATTGTAGAAGCTAAAAAATTTAGCAATTAAAGTCATTAAGAAGTGAAAAATAATAAATTGTGACATCTAACCATGTATTCTCTTCAATTAAATATTGATATTGTATGAATCTCTCCATATGCTATAACCTCTCTCTTCATATGCTCTAATGTTTAAGTTTTTTTTAATCTAAAACGGTGATTGTTTTAAGTGCTCAAAATTCAGCAATTAAGAAGAAAAATTGTTAATGTAACTCATTGATAATGGCAAAAGGAATACTCATAAATGCACTTCAAATTATTACTGTAACATTTTAGTGGTATGTAAAAAGTTTTCTGTTAGGGAACTTAAATTACTATTTCATAATAATAATAATCAATAATAATAATAATATAATGGTATTATTGTAGTAACTCAATTATATAGGGTTATTTTGATATTTCAACTTTCAACTTTTTTGTTCCCACATATAATAATATATGATTATATACTTGATTTATAATAAACTCTTATATAGTTATATAGTATTTCATAGCCTCTGTTTATTTATTTAATTGTTCTTCTATTAATTTCAGATTCAGATATATGAGGTTTTTCCTAATCTTGAAAAGTATGCAAAGAAATCCTTGGATACTTCTTTACCCATTCCTCGTTTACTTAGATGCCACACCGCAAAAATAATAATATTATCAAAGATTATTCATTTAAGTACAAAGGACAAAGTACAAAGCTACAAAAGTCTTATTTATCATTATAGCAATATTTATAAATTGATGAATGTCATGTATATTTGTTTATATTTTATTTTTCGTAGGTTGTTCACTCATACCTCATAGCTACTGTGAAAGAAAAAAAATTACTTGACAACATTAAAACCGTATGTAAATGAAGTGAAGGATACAATTAACGATGCCTTAATGAAAAATTTGAAAGGTGTGACTGTCCTTACTTCATCCATAGAGAATGTGGAGGATGAGTATTCAAATGATCACAATCCTAGTCAACCTTGTGAGAATTCTGTACCAAGTAATTCTAAAGATGAAAGTCTATGTGAGCGTACATGTTGCATCCATCGAGCAATCAATGATGAAAATTGTTGTTTTTGTACGAGAGAAAAACTTGAGAAGAAATGAAAAGAAAAAGAAAAAGAAAAAAAAGGTGGATAAATTTATATATTATTTATGTAAAACAATTTATTTGCATTAATTTTTAACCACTGATCTTACAGTAGGTGATGACAACTTTTCAACACTAACAATTGATGATTAGATCCTTTCATTAGATCTAGCGATGATGATCTTGCTGCAGTTGATGCATATTTTGCTGAAGAAGTTGATAAAGAGATGAAGAAAGAGGAAATGAAAGAAGAAGAGAAACAACAAGATGAGAGGAGAAGATGACAGAAAAACAAGAAGAAAAGATACAAGAGAACGGATGAAGAAAATGAAGGGGAGAAACTAAAAGAAAAAAAGAAGAAGAAAGTGAAGACGAGAATATGGAAGAGAAGAAAAATGAAGAAAATAAAGCAAGTGGAGAATAAGAAAAAGAATAACAAGAGGATAAGATAACACAACACGAAGAAGAGGAAAAGTTGGATGAAGAAGGCTTGGCCATTGATGTGGCAGAAGTGGAAAAATAAATAGACGCGATGAGTATTGTGATGGAGCTTAATGGTGAGGTTGGTGGTGATGAGTAAGCGCATTTGTGGTCTTTGTGATGGGTATTGGTGTTGTATGACAATTTTTATTAGTTGATTTTTTATGAAAATTTATTTTTGTGATAGTTGAGTTTCCCCCTGTTGAAGACAATTGGTATTTTGAGATAATTTTTTAAGACAAAAAGGTTTTTGAAAAGTAGTTTGTTGTTTGCTGCTTTTAACGGCAAAAATGTAACTCCGACATTTTAACATATTTTATTATGAAGAGTTTTTAGATTTTTTATCAATCTATGTCTCAATAAACTTGTATGTCTAATACTATAGATTGTTATCACTGTTGATCTATAACATTATCGATCGAAAATAAAAGATATAAGAGTTCAAAAAAATAGAGAGAAATAGTTTATTTTTTCAGCATTACCTTCCTGTTACACGTTTGTTACACATTTACTAAAAGTAAACATAAAAATTTAAACCACACAATATATATTTTAGGTGTTTTTCTTTTTCTTTTGCCAAAATCAATCTTTCTTTTA